GTTTAGGTCTAAGGACTTTAGGAGGGACGCCTAATAGGGACCCTTAATCCCATTACTTTAAATAGCCATTGTATAGTCCTTTTATACCCGTTATATAGCCAGGTAGTCTCCATATCAACCCCAATCACCTACAAGGGTCCCTATTAAGGGTCCCTCCGAAGCCCTTAGATTAGGGGTTCGGGGTTAAGGTTTAGGGTTTAGGATATACCTTGGATTTCCGAACATAGGGGGGCCCTAATGTAGCACGCGAAATAGTAGGATCCGTTGTTTTAAGGACCCCAAAATAAGGTACCCCTTGCTTTCGGACACTCCTATATATTTTGCTCTTTCAAAGGGTGCCTCAAGGGTTCCATAAAGGAGGGTTTCAAAGATCCTCAGGGTTTGGCGTGGTTTGAGCGTTCGGGGTTCGGTTTAAGGTCTCGAGGTTTCGGGGTTGGGTTTAGCGTTTGGGGTTTACGGTTTAGGGTTCAAGATTTGGCTTGGGGGTTTAGATGTTGGGCTTTAGGTTTCGGTTTCCAGGATCTGTTCAGCTGTTTTGTGAGGGGGCCGCTGGCTTCCTACAGAGGGATCCGCTGCTTCCTGGCTGTCTAGGGTTGAGGGCAAGCATCTGTTTTTCCAGGCCCCCTTACGAAGATTTCATGATGGGTCCCTTGGTGCTAGAGGTAGACGGTTTGGACGGTTTACGATGAGCTGCAGGTTCTGCTGGTCCTCTTGCTGCTCATCTGCGCTTTGGGTGTGCTCGAGCTGGTGAATCAGAAGCTGGGCTCTTGTGAAGGGACATGACTCTACGTTTCAAAGAAGGGAAGTGTTGTGCTTATTGTATATAGATACGCATATAATGAGATGTATAGTATAATCTACGTCTTCCCAATTTAGCATCCGATTGATTGTGAAACCTTTTATGGCAACTTGAACTGCTTCATCTACGGGCTTTCAATCCCATATAAAACCATACCAAACACTGCATAACATGTGTTGAAGCTTTGTAAGGGCACTGCAAAGCCTTTTGTAACCCTGCAATGCCCTGACAGAGCCTTGCTAAGCCTAAGCCCTAAGCCCAAAGCCCTGAGCCCTAAACCCTAAACCCTAAACCCTAAACCCTAAACCAGTAAGCCCTAAACCCTAAACCCTGAACCCTGAACCCTGAACCCTGAACCCTGTACCCTAACCCCTAAACCCTAAACCTACTGGGTTCGTAAGAACCCGAACCCAGGAAGTTCCGGTTCGAGCCCCTCTATGCCAACTACGAGGAGGTGACGAAATCCTGCAGCCCCACTTTTGGCATGCCTGAGGCTCTTCGATTAGGCAGGTCTGGGGTTTAGGGTTGAGGGCTAGGGTTTAGGGTTTAGGGTTTAGGGTTTAGGGTTTAGGGTTTAGGGTTTAGGGGCTAGGGAGAGGGGATCTTCCAGCAGATTGGGGGCTTTCAAACACGTGTTAGGATTCAGGTAGGCTTCGGAACTGAGGGAACCCCAATATGAACTCAAGACGCTAGGGTCCTAAACCCTAAACCCTAAACCTTAAACCCTAAACCCTAAACCCTAAACCCTAAACCCTAAACCCTAAACCCTAAACCCTAAACCCTTAAGACCCTGGTCAGGAGGCATCGTCTCCTATTTCACTCAGGAGGGCGGGTCGGTTGGGCTCAGCTCGCTGTGGCCGCGGATTCTGAGCTCCTGTTTAAGAGGGTTTAGGGTTTAGGGTTCAGGGTTTAGGGTTTAGGGTTCAGGGGTTTGGGTTTAGGGTTTAGGGTTTAGGGTTTAGGGATACTTTGACATGATGGCAAAGACCACACTTACGATACATAGTAAGCGGCACGCTTCATTGTTGACTACAGGCCCAAAGAAGCCTTGTTCTACACATTCAGGCCTCTGTAGCAAGTTGGACCAACCTAAACCCCAAAGCCCAATATCTAAACCCGAAACCTTAAACTCTAAACTCGTAAGCAAGCGCTCAGGATTGCGAACGCGACCCGGGCCAACCACCAAGCTTTTGCGACTCTGGCAGGCGACTGTGGCTTTAGGGGTTTATATAGGGGCCCTCATAACTAGAACAGGGTTTGTCGGGTTCATTGTAGTATATGTATAAGAAGGAGCCCTGAGGAATAATACCGGTAATTATTGAGGCTTCTACCCCTAACCCTTCAGGTACCTACTATATAGGGCCTTAGGGGCTCTAGTACCCTATATAGTAACTAGTAACTAAACCCTAAACCCTAAACCCTAAACCCTAAACCCTAAACCCTGGTATCCGGGGGGTTAGGGTGCAGTAAGGGTTTCGGGGTTTTGAGTTCCCGCATGTCTGGGTGTAGGGATCGGGGTTCTTTCAGCAAGGGCTCCGGAAAGGCCTCCTGGCAGGGCTCCTTTAAGGTTTAGGGTTTAGGGTTTAGGGTTCCTTTCAGGGCCACGAAAGCGTGGCTATTCAGGGCTCTTTCATTTTCGTCTTGGGTGGGGAGTTTTGCTTACAGGTTTGGAGTTTAGGGGTCTGAGAGAAGAGGCCTAAGACACCAGAACAGCGATTTTCGAGCTCGATGAAAGGGTTTGGGGGTCCTAAACCCTAGACCCTAAACCCTAAATCCGGCTTCGAGGCATTTCTTCCAAATCCCGGAAGGGGTTTCTGCTTCCGGGTAGCTCTGAAGAGGCACCTTTGCCAAGCGAAGGAGTCTCCTGACCCCAGAACGCTTTAGGACTTTCGGGTTTATGGTTTTGGACTTTAGGGTTTAGGGTTTAGGGTTTTGGGGTTAGGAGATTTGTTTTCGCAAGGTTTAGGGGTTCAGGCTTGAGGGTCTGGGGGTCGAAGTTGATAGTCATTGGTTTTGGGCGTAGAGTTACGGACTTCGCAGTGAGGTGTGCCCTACAAGCAGATCACGTGGGGGCATCGGCGCTGTGGCAAAATGAGGGCTGTTGCTGAAGCATTGAAGTGTCCCTGGGCGCTGGCTAAGAAGTTTTAGATTAGGGTAAGATACAGGAGCAAGATTGTATGTGCAAATGCAAGAAAATGAATGAATAAGCGACGTGTGTGTATAAATGAATAAACAAATGATTCGATACATGGATAGATAAGCAAATCAACAAATGACTGACTGGTTAAAGATGTATATGTGTACGTATATATCTTTATATATGTATATACACATGTATATAATCTGCACATTGCATGTTTTTATCTTTTTTTTTTTCTCTCTCTCTCTCTCTCGACAAGATAGTTCCGTTTCTTATTGTACTGAAAAAATCCAGTTCCTTCGCAAGAGCCCAGGTATCCCTCCGGGTGCGTGGCTTTTCTTTATTGACGCCGACGCTGCTTTCCGGGCCCAGACGGAGCCTTGCACCGCCATGGATCCGCTGTCTCCGGCCCCGATGCACTGTGATGCCTTGCCCTGGCACGAGAGCCTCGGTTCTGGAGCCCTATAAGGGCTACTATAAGGGTTTAGGGTTTAGGGCCTTAATAGTTGGAATGGGGTTTTGGGGGTATATTATACTATAATTATATTAGGGAGCAAGGAACTTGTCTTAGGATTCGAGTTTAGGCTTAGGGTCTAGGGCTCGCAACGGTTTTCAAGCAGTACAAGTGTTATAAATCTTCGAAGGTTAACCTTAAGCTGAAGTTCCGCAATGAACTGGGCAAGTAAGGAACGGAACCGACGGAAGAGGGTTGGGCACGGCCAGGTGTGCCGCAGCTGTTAAGGCCATGGCTTCATTTCACGCCACCATCTTCCGTGACAGGCACAGGGACCCGAGCCTCCTGAACCTCGCTTCATGTTGTTGGTTCAGGGCTTAGGGAACTTTGGATTTCGGGTTCAGGGTTTAGGGTTTAGGGTTTAGGGTTTAGGGTTGAGGGTTTAGGGGGTTTACGGTTTGCAGTTTCGGGTTTCGGATTGGCAAGGAGCTTTTGTTTCAGCTGGCGCAGAAGCATCTTCTTGCTTTGCAGCCCGCCCTATGGTTTCTGCATTTGGAGTTGCCACAACAAGGAAAAGCATCTTCTGGACCATGTGTCCCAAAACCGTCAACCCTAATCCGGAAGCCTTGACGGTTTAGGGTTTAGGGTTCAGGTTTTAGGGTTACATATATATATATATATGTCTATCCCTGTACTGACCCTCAACCTCAACCCCCAACCCCTAAACCAAACAACCTGGTTGCATAGAGAATCCCAAAACCACCAAAGCCTTAAACCTTTTTTTAGAACCCTTTAACGAGCCCGCTAAGCTTGCAGAGAGAGCCCTAAGACCCTAAACCCCAGACCCTAAACCTTCAACCTTCAACCCAAACCCAACGCTTAGGCCGTCTTCGTACGTGGTTTTAAGCTGTGAAATGTGGTCGTTTTATGCAGAACTGCGAAGGGAAGCAGAGAGCAACACAGCCCCCTTTGAGGGTGGTTTGCAGGGTGAGCCCTAAGCAGAATAGTTGGGGTTGTTTTGGCGGGACTGCCTGCTGACGCAGGCGCGCCACAAGTAGGTGCGCTTTCATTGCTAACGAAGGGCACCCACCGTACCCCATCCCTCCAATCCCTGAAGCCTAAACCCCCCAAACCCTCCTAAACCCTGATCAAACATGAAGGGCCCAGGAACATGTATCCCTAAACCTCACCATGGTTCCCTGATAGCCCCTTAAAGGACCCTTTACAGGCACCCTACAAGAACTCTTATAATACCCTTTAGGGGAACCCCGAAACCCCCAAACCCCGAGCCCAGGAACATGTGGCCCTTCGGGCTTTTTGCAATTCGCCACGATGCCTTCGGCCTAGACTGGCTCGAAGCCACCCTTGTCTTCAGTAACGAGGGATTTAGGTAGTATAGGGGTTCCTTTAAGGGTTCCTTTACATGGTTATACGGGATCTGGAAGGGGTTTAGGGGTTTTAGGGGTTTGGATTGTGGTCTTAGGGTTTGGGGTTTACAGATTAGGGTGTAGGAACTACCTGAACACAAAAGAACCGATGATCTCACCATGTAAGTCCTTAAACAGAGAGGTTATCAAGGGTCCAGGTTGGGTTTTGGGTTTAAGATTTCCGAGTTCGACGTTTGAGTTTAGGGTTTTGTTGGATTTCGGAATTAGGGGTTTAGGGTTTAGGGTTTGGGGTTTAGGGTTTAGGGTTTAGGGTCTAGGGTATAGGGTTTAGGGTTTAGGCTATAAGGCATGGAGTGAAGGGTTGACAGGTCAAGAGTTCAGGAAGTAGGGCCTCTAGGAAGAGTGCGAGTTTAGGGTCCAAGGGTCAGAGCTTGATGTACAGCGTTTAAGATGTAGGAACTAGCTTAGGTTTGTAGGTCTAGAGTGCAGGATTTGTCGTCTAGAAACTAGGTTCAGCTGAGTTTTTTTTTTCTGCTTTCAGGTTGAGAGTTTAGGGTTTGTGGTTTAGGAGCCCGAATTCAGAGTTTAAGGCCTACATAGATTTTCGGTCTCGTCTAGGGTACAGTTGCAAGTGCTTCAGGCATCTGCTTCCTCCATGTAGGACCCTAGTCCTGGCTCAGAAGAGTGCTGCGTCCAAAACTAATCCAAACTGCCATGATCGGCAAAGCATGTGCAGTGAAAAGGTTGCCTTGGACTGCCATAGCCTACCCCTTTTTGAGGTTCTTCTTACAAACCTCAACCCAGAATTTATAGCGACGCTACAACATGTAGGGTTTGGTAGCTCAAGGCATGTGCATAAGACCGTGCTCAGCCCAAAACCCTACACCCCAAAGCCCCACCCCAAGACCCGACACAGCAAACGCATCCAAAAACCCGAAACCCTCAACCCGAAGACCGCAGAAGCCTCAACGCCCCGACTTAAAGCCCAGCTTCTTCTGTATGCTAAACCCTAAACCCTAAACCCTAAATCCTAAACCCTAAACCCTAAACCCTAAACCCTAAACCCTAAATCCTAACCCTAAATCTTAAATCCTAAACCCTAAACCCTAAACCCTAAATCCTAACCCTTAGCTTTCTTTAATCTTTCGATTTCTTTTTCCTTCTCACTTTGACTGTCTGGTGCTTAGTAGGGAATGGGGGAATGGATCCCTATGATAGTCCCTTAAGGTCCCTTATAGTAGTCCCTATAACCCATTCCCCCATTCCCTACTAAGCACCAGACAGTTGAGCTCAGGAGAGGCTCGCGAGCCGGCTGGAGTCGGAGCTGCTGCTTTGCCGCTTGAGCTCCATCCCGGAGAGGAGACTTCTCAGGGTTTAGGGTTTAGGGTTTAGGGTTTGGGGTTTAGGGTTTAGGGTTTAGGGGTTTAGGGTTTAGGGTTTAGGGTTGGGGGTTTGGGGTGTTTAGTTTTGAGGGTTCAGGGTTTTTAGGATTCAGGGTTTTTAGGTTCTAGGGTTTAGGGTTTGGGGTAACCCCCCCACGAAATTTGTAGAGCTGTATCTGAAACCTTTAGGGTTTGGGGTTTAGCCCTTTTTGCTAGGTGGGGTTTAGTTTCTTTTTTATGGTAGGGTTTAGGGTTTACCTTCAGAACCCCAAACCCATTTTTTTTATAGGTTCTTATTATAAACCCTAATATGGGGATTTATAGGGACCCTGCAAAAAAGTAGGTTTTGGGTTCTTAAGGTAGAGTCTAGGCTTTAGGGGCGAACCTCTCCGGCCTTCAGAAACATGCTTCTTTGGGTTCCACAAGACTTCTACAGTAGCAGCTTTCTGCCAGGGCTTCTGAAGTCTATAGGATTGTAGTTATAGGGTTTTGTAAGGTTTTGCAGGGATCTTAATGCTAGGGCCCTTCAAGAAGTGGGGCGTATTAATCAGGGGTCTACTTTACATCAAATATGCGTAAACTCTCAGGCCCTAAGCCGCCCTGAAATCCAAGGCCTTGATAGTAAACCCTAAACCCTAAACCCTAAACCCCTAAACCCTAAACCCTAAACCCTAAAACCTAAAACCCAAAACCCTAAACCCTAAACCCCTAAACCCTAAAACCTAAAACCCTAAAACCTAAAACCCAAAACCCTAAACCCTAAACCCTAAACCTTGAGCCTCTTCAGGAAAGCTGCTTACTGGGTTACCACGGACTCCGACAAGTGCAGTATCTGGCCCAACGACAAGCACTTTGCCAGGCATTTCCTGCATCTCACCAGCGGCACGGATGAGAACGTGAAGGACTTTAGGGTTTAGGGTTTTAGGGCTTAGGGTTTTGGGGTTTTAGGGTTTAGGGTTTAGGGTTTATGGTGTCTGGTGCTTAGTAGGGAATGGGGGAATGGGTTATAGGGACTACTATAAGGGACCTTAAGGGACCATCATAGGGATCTATTCCCAAATTCCCTACTAAGCACCAGACAGAGGAGAGCGAAGATGCGACGGAAGCCTTCCTTGGGATGGTTGAACAGGAGACTGCGAGACTCAGGGCTTTAGGCTCGGCTTGAGTTGCTGCTTGGGCGGCCTACATCTTTCGCTTCTGCCCCGCTGTCTCTCTGCTAGCAGCATCCTTGAAGAGCCCTGTGAAGTGCCGACGTTGGATCCGGGGGGAAGAAGCGCTCGTGCCGACTTTCGCCACCTCTAACCTGCAGGCCAGCCGGATCCGCGCAGAGCGCCGTGGTTAGATAGAAGGCATTTTCATGGTCCTTGCCGTCATAACAGAACCCCAACCCTCCACCCCCGCCGGACACTAAAGAAGCCCACGGTGAATGAAGCTGGAAACCCCAAACGCCTAAACCCTAAACGCTAAACCCTAAACCCCATACCCTAAACCCGAAGCCCTAAACCCTAAACCCTAAACCCTAAACCCTAAACCCTAAACCCCAAACCCTAAACCCTAAACCCCAAGCCCTAAGGCGATTGAAAGCAGCAAGGATTTCAGCGATTTTCCACTAAGCCCACAGAGCGTGGTTTGAATGCCGATACATGTAGCCCTGAACCCCTGATGCCCTCCTGAAGCCTTTAGGGAGCCACTGAGAGCCCTGAACCCTTGATGCCCTCCTTTTGAAACCTTCGATATAGGGTTTAGGGAGTAACTGAGGCTGCAGGAACCACATCGCCCTCTCGTCGGGCTTCTGCGGATGGTGGGAACGGCCTTCGCTGGAAGCTGGCCCGTTATCTTGCTCCCAGCAAAACCGTGTAGTGCAGAGCTCAGGAGTTCAGGGCTGGTTCTAGGGTAAGGCTTCTCAGGTTTTGACATTGTTGAAGAGGCTGTAAAACCCTAAACCCTAAACCCTAAACCCTACACCTTAGACGCGAAACCCCCCAATTGTGGCAGCAGCCCTAAGCTGTGTGAGGGTCCGGGTTTAGGCGTTTAGGGTCTGGAGCAATGGCCTCTGGGGCTGAGGGCGTTTTGGAGTTTAGGGTTTAGGGTTTAGGAGTTTAGGGTTTAGGGTTTGGGGTTTGGGGGTTTAGGGTTTAGGGTTTGGGGTTTAGGGTTTAGGGTATGGGGTTTAGGGTTTTTGGGGTTTTGCCGGTTTAGGGCTTTGAGTGCCTATCATGACTAGTCTGATTCTTATTACGGCTATTATTGGGCAAATGATCCCTTCCGTTAGGCCCTAAACCGTAAACCCTAAACCCTAAACCCTAAACCTTTTTATGAAACCCTCAAGATGGTCTTTACGGAACCGCAAAGCAACCTTACCCCACAGCCCTTGTGTTGGTGGAGGGTCTTGGGACAAGCTTTCCTTTAGCAACGGCCTTCTGTCATTACAATACCAGGGTCAAGGGTTTTAGGGCTTAATATAGGGGCCCAAATAATTACCGACATTATTTTGGGGGTTCCGTGTTATAATTATAGCATAATATACCCCCAAAACCCTATTCTAATTGTTAAGGCCCTTACATTCGGGGTTTAGGGGGTTAGCAGACTTCCGTTCCAAAGTTCTGCCTGACTTGCGCCCCCGTCGCAAACACCAGGAACCCTAAGCTTCACAGGCGCTACACTCTTCACTGCCTTATATGGTCCACAACAAGCCTTTGATGTCGCTCATAATAGCTGGGCCCTAAACCCTACCGTAACCCCAAAGAACCTACCTTTTTAAGGACTTATATAAAGAAACTATAATAAGGAACCCCAAAAAAGGTGGGTTGTTTGGGGTCCAGGTAAACCCTGAACCCAGCCCCAACAATCATCTTCCGAGCTCTCTCGCTTCCCTGGTAGCTCGGAAAGAAAAGATATCACAGCTTTGAGATCCTGCCGTCGCCTTAGCCCCGGGCTCCACTGCACATGCAGCCAAGTGTCACAAGACGAATCCACAATGCCAAAACCCAAAATCCTGAATGCCCCCGGCACCCTAAGACCCTACATCCTAAACCCTCAACCCTAAAGTCTAAACCCTAAACCCTAATGAGTATTCAGGGGTTTAGGGCTTCGGGTTTAGGGTGCTGCTGAAACCTCGGGGGCTTTTCTTCTTAGAGATCCTGGCCTAAAGCACTTCCTAGAGAGTAAATCCCTGAACTCTCAGAATCCCATATACGAAACGCCAGCTTCCGAAAATTTCGCCCGTCAAGCCAAAACCTGATCCCAAACCTCCCAAAACCCTAAACCCTAAACCCTAATCCCAAACATCCCAAAACCCTAAACCCTAAACTCTAATCCCAAACATCCCCAAAACTGCACAACAAATCCTTCGCGTCTATCGCCCGATGCTTCTGGAAGATGTGCTGGCACCCGGGAGGCCGTGGTTCATTTTTTTTTTTAGAAGGGTTTAGTGTTAAGAGTTTAGGGTTTAGGGTTTAGGGCCTAGGGTTTAGTGTTTCGGGTTTAGGGTGTAGGGTTTAGGGTGTGGGATGTAAGGGGGTTCCTTGATGGCTTTGCAGGGTTGTTTATAAGCCTTCGATGGGATTTTTGAGCTTTGTAGGATCTTCTGTGGGCTTCTTGAAGCCAGGGTCGCTCGTTTGCAGGTCCTTACATCGGTAAAACCCTAAACCCTAAACCCTCAACCCTCAACCCTCAACCCTCAACCCTAAACCTTAAACCCTAAACCCTAAACCCTAAACCCAATCTCCTGCATTGGCATTGGCGCTAGGAGTCCTGAGAACTTGAGTGGGTTCGGGCTTGGAGCTCTCGGAAGACTCTAATTACCCGTAGCCGGAAAGACCCACCCTTTGTTTTGGAACTACATGGGTGGTTGTCCCTTTTTGGGTCCTTAATTATAATACGGCACCTATTATTTAGGGTACCCCACAAGGGACCACATAGCAGAAGCCATACTAAGGAGCCCGAAAAAGGGTAGGTCTTTTCGGTTGCGGGCAAGGCCTCTGACCTTGAAACCTGCGCAAAAGGTGGAAGCCAGGGTTCGAAAGCTGGGTTCCTGCAACTGAGGAGCCTAACAGCTTGAGTAGGTTCTTTGGGGTGTGTCCTCTACTTCAACTTTAGTATGAGCCGTATGGGAATAGTATTGCTAAGTATTCTGACCCCGTTTCGTCCCTTGTACTGCTTAAACCTTAAAGTTAGACAGTTAGACCCCAAAGCGGCAAACTTGAAACGGAGCCACATGTTCGATTAAGCCCAGCGTACATTGCTGGAGCTCGACACATCACCCTGCACCCTGCTCCAGTCTTTAGAATTTCTAGGATCTTAAAAAGGGGATGCCAGGATCTTTAGGAGTTAGAGTATGGGTTTAGGGTTTGGGGTTGAGGCACGTCGTTCCAAGTGCCTCCTATCGTGGACCGTGGGGCTCACAGACGAACCCCCCACCGCGATAGCTGTTTTGGGGTGGGGGGAGGTGGGGAATAGAGGGAATCCGAATCGGCCGGGGCCAAGGCGAATTTACCCCCAAAGCCCTATTCTAATCATTAAGGCCCCTATATTACACTAGTTAGGAAGAAGACGACATATACAGATGCACAAGAGACTTTTGAGACCGCGCTTCGCAGGTTTCTGGCCACCACCGGCCAGCTCATCGCCGTCTTAACAGTGCTCTTGGATAAGGCGTGTTTCGTTGCCTCGGAGGCTAGGTAATATAGGCGCCTTGATATTTAGAAGAGGGTCTTGGGGTATATATGATCCCGGCTCGGCCGGCCCCCCCCCCTCCCCCCCCCAATGGTTCCTCCTCCCCCTCCCTGTGGTGTGGTGTGGTCGTGGGTTGCTTCCCCCTCTGTGGTGGTGTCTTGTGGTTGTTCCTCCTCCCCCTCCCTGTGGTGT